CTATAAGCCTCCTGTACATGGATGGCCATGTCTTTTCCAAGAATATGGAGGTTTACACTATTATTTCATTGAATAAGTTTTCTATGTCCTTAGCCTTTATTTCTTTACCTTCAGATATTCCAGTGCTGTGGGTGTTTGTCTAAGGGTGTCCCCCAAACCTAGAACACCCTCTTCATTTTTTCTTTTCAGTTTTTCTTTTTGCCTGAATGGGATACTTCAAAAGGCCTGTCTTCAAGCTCCAATATTCTTTCTTCCTCTTAATCTTGTCTATTGTTGATGCTTTCAACTTATATTTCTATTTAACTTAATTGAACTCCTTATTCCAAGATTTCTGTTTGATTCTTTTTTAAAATCCCCATCCTTTTGCTAAATTTCTCATTCACATTCTTCATTATCTTCCTAATTTCATTTAACTGTTTGTCTTTATTCTCTTTGATCTTATTGAGCTTTTTAATAATCATTCTTTTGGATTCTGTATCAGGCATTTCGTCTATTTCAGTTTGTCATCTGTTGCTAGAGAATCACATCTTTTGGAAGTGTCGTATTACCTTGTTTTTTCACATTTCTTGTGTTCCTTTGTTGAGATTTGATTATCTGGTGAACGATACCCACTTTTATGGGAGAGGTGGCCTTCTTAGTAAGTGGCTTTCTCCTGTAGTTGTGTGTTGGGGCTGTTGGTTTATTATGCCACTGTTGCCTTTGTTTCCATCTGGGCACCTTAGTGTAGTCTCCCTGTAGCTTTTTTGGCTGTGGTTAGTGATTTGGGGCACACAGAATGGGTAGTCAGGAGGATGCGGTGTAGAGAGCTGAGTGTGAATGGTCCTACTATGTAACTACTCCTACAGTGTAAGTAGTGGCCTCCGTTGGCTGATGAGTTTTCTCAGGTACTGTTGATGTTGGCTCTGTTACTTCCAAAGACCTCCACATCAAAGCAATGAAGGGAATAAAACACTTGTCCTCTGACCAGACGACAGTGTAGGATCAGGGGTTTCATGGGGAGAGGTGGTGGTGGGAACCACAGTCCTCTCTCTGACAGCAGTAAGTAGTCAGACATGGTGTGGGGTATGTGGTGGTAGGAACAGTACAGGGGTGGTGGCAGCAGGCACTGTATTCTCTCTCTCTGCTGCAGCTGTGGAAGTTCCCATGTAGGAGTGTAACTTTGGTCCCCTCCCTATCCAGGCTCTGCACACCTGGGGATGAGGTAATGGCCAGGTCTTTCTCCCACTGACTTTCAGCTGCAGTGCCTACCTTGGAGCTAGTGGGAACTAAACATCACCAGAGCCAGGCAAAATCCTTTGGGCATGCATGCCCAGAGGTTGGGTGATTGCAAGGGCTTTTCTTCCCCCGACTTTCAGCTTTTGTACCCATCAGGGACTAGGCAAGAGCAGGATGTGGCCGGAGCCTGGCAAAATTCCTTTTCGGGCCTCCTTTGTCTGTGTGTGCCTATAGGCAGGGTAAGCAGCGCTGTCTATTTCCCTTCATGTCACAGCAGCTGTGATTTACAGTGCAGTGAGTCTGAGTCAGTCATTCTGCCAGGCCAACTTGGGCTCACAAGGCAACTGTCCACTGAGCCAGTGCAGTGGTATTTCTGTGGTGTCCAAGAGATGGGAATATGCAGGGTTTTATGTCCCCATGAGCAGTCAAAATTCAGAAATAGGTCCCTTCTCAAGATGGCTTCTGTCTACAGCACCATAGGGATTTGCTGGCAGATGACGTGAAATTCTTTCCCAAAGCAAGGCTACTGTGCAGATTTCAGATTACTTATCTAAGTAGGCTGCAAGTCTGTGAGTACTGCAAAATTTTGAGTGGTTAGGATTTCCAGTATCTGCACGAATAGGTTTGCTGGGACTTTCTCTTTCACCCTTACCCTGCAAAGGGGACTTCTCTCCCTTCCTCTGGCTCTAGAACCAATGCAGCAGAAGCGAGAATATTTTGTTTCTCTTACTGTGCTCTTGTCCCAGGGCTGTGCATCTTACTAGGTTCTAGTCTCTGTCTTGCTGGTTCTCTGTGTTCTCCATGGTCACTCACCTCAAAATGCAGCTGCACACTTGTTGTTTTTGTTTTTCTTTATGAAGGAAGAAGTGAATCAGTACTGGTGCCCCCACTTGACTATCTTGAAACGTTAGGTCTAGTGATTTTACATACCCCCTGACAAATTGCACTTTAACTTAAATTACAAAAGGAAGGTAGAAGAAAAACAGCTTGATATTGAGGTAGTGAGAGGTAGAATACCAAATTCTGGGACTTAGAGGATTATCACTGATTAATTAGAGAATTATTATAAATGTTCCAAGTGGCTCTTTTTCTTTTAACCTGCAGATTAAGGGGATGATCTTTGAAGTTTTTATTAACTCTGACATTCTGGAAATTATCTTTGGTTTTAAAATAGTAAACTTTCTGCTAAAGTCAATATTTTTTCTGCTTCTTATTATCTCTTCGGTTCATAATAAATTAATATATTTTCTCCTCTTAGGCAGATATATATTCATAATTGTTTTCCTTCTACAGAAAACTTCAAGCTCCTATTAGCCTCCATTCATAGGGGTGTTTCAATAATATCTTTGACAGAAAAAAATCCATAGTACACAATTCTTATTTCTAGAGCTCAGGTTGTGTTTAGAAATAGCCATTTGGAGTTATGCTTGATAATGTTTGCTGTGATGATCATGATTAACCAAAGCACAGGTCAACTCAGTGTAAAGCCTTTCTTCCTATAAATGCTTTAGACAGTGATTCGGTTGAGGAAAAGATCAGATATGGTTGACTTTTTCCCTTCTTTGGACTTCTTAATTAATTTATTCATTTTTTTTTTTTTGCAATGCTGAAGATGAAACTCAGGACCTTGTGCTTGCTAGGCAATGTTCTGCCACTGAGAACACCCGCAGCCCGTCTCCTTTATTTTCTTTTTTGTCCCTAGGAAGCAAACAGGGGACTCGAGCCTACATAGACCAGGCCAAGTCTTTTTCCGGCTAAGCTACACCTCCCAGTTTCAACTTTATTATCTTTCATATGTTCTTTTGTATCAAGAACAAGATGTTTACATCAGGTAGAAATAAAATTATTTTCTGTTCTGAATTTAGAGTGGATTGTCATTGAAACATCTTAACTCTTTCCTTTCTGTTTGAGTATGTAGCTCCATTTTTAGCTCCTGAGGAGATGTGAAGCAGCAGATCTGGGCTTCTTATTATTAGTATCTGAATGCTTTACTGCCATCTAGGTGTTCAGAGGTAGAAGAAAAAATTTTCATCTGACTCTGAGGCAGGGAACTATATTTGTGTTTGTGGGTATGAAAGAAAAGAGAAACCATGCTTTGAAGAAAAGTTTGTTATCAATTTTAATGCAATGCAATTTTTTTTGTTCTTATATCCAGGAAGGAATGACAATAAATTCATAAGTTTACAGAATCCCAATGGTGCCACAAAAAGATGAAAATATTCTGAAACTTCACCTAGAAAACTACCACATTCCTTCTTCAGGACATGAAATGTGTTACATTGTTATTAAAGAAATTTTGATTCTTAAACTATCTCTTAGCTTCTTGGATAGGTTTGTTAATAATCAATTAAAACAAAATCTGGAAAATTCAAATTTTGTTTCTCAAAAAAATTTTTAAAACTCATTTGTGTCCTTAAATATACAGATCACTTTAATATATACTTCTGGATGTAGGTCCGAATGCTGTTTATTTCTTCCATTCACTATTTTCTATCCAAGGAGCTCAGTGATTATGGAGCTTTACAAAAAGACCAGCACCAACAACAAAATTAATAAGAGTACAATATTATAGTTAATATAGAAGAGCAGACATACAAGCCCTACTACCAAAAGGAGGAATCTATTAAATATCTTATTTTCTTATTGTATGTCTCATATTTCCTTGGGTCCTTATCTTTGGTTATTTTATTTTCTCCTTACTTTTTATTCAAAATAATAGCACCTTTGTTCTTGAACATACTCGTAGAGTGGCGTACTGCTATCTATGTAGAGGGAACCTGAGTCCATTCTTGCCTTCCTGTGGTAATCTCTTGCCTCAGAGCCTCTTGTCTGCGTATTATCCACATCCTGACTGTACCTACTGATGCCACCAGATGGATCAGATCCGGACTCTTGCTCTTGACTTCCCCCACCCAATATGGTTGAATTTCTTGATAAATACCTATACTCTTCAGATCCCATAGGGTCTTGATTATACAGTGAATAATTAGAAAAGGATCTTTGACTTCCTGTTATATTGTCAATTGATTGCTCATAGGTGTTACTTGGTTGGCTCTGGCTATATTTTTGCCTCTCATTAGTGAAACCAGATTGCTTTCTAGTAGAAGAAAATGACTGGTCATATGATGGGCTGTGAATAGAACCCTGATTTCCAATTGTACCAAATTGAGACTGAACATTTGTGTTACTTGACTGTTCAGAGGTTATTATAGAATGGGCATGACTAGATCCTTGTCTTGTTATACGGGATCCAGACTGTTCCTGGCAATCAACTAATTGCCCTTGACTTGCTTCAAACTGCCCATGCATTGAAACCTGCCTTCCTTCTCTTCCAGTTGCTTTGAATTCAGTTTGGTCAGATATAGAAAAGGATTGCCCATGTGTAGACACGGAAGTACTTATAGGTCCGTCTGTTGACCTCAAAGGACTAGAAGTGCGACTGCTACTTCTGCTATGCCCAGAAGGTCCATAACCAGATTGCCCATAGTCATATTCTGAACGACCATAGCTGCCATGTCTCCAACGATGAACTGATCCATGGCTTTGTTTTCTGTTGTTCTGTGACTCAAAATGTCTTCTTCCAGACTGACCACGAATACTACTTGACTGTGATCTGACACTATCTCTTGACTGCTGGTGAATATTATGTGATTGTGTGTGACCAGATCCCAATTCACCATGTTGAGATCCAGCATGGTTATGAGTGGATGCTGAGTGTCTTTGTGAGATGGCTGATTTATGTTCTCTCTCAGTAGACTCATTATGAACAGGTGATCTTCTTGGAGTTATGTGGGAACTACTCTCTGGGGATTGTCCAAGGCCAGAATGAGCACGTCTAGTACTACCTTGGGACTCTTCATGACCAGTTTGATGTCTCTCTGAATGAGTGGATCCTGCCTCTCCATGTTGAGATCCAGCATGGCCCTGAGTGGATCCTGAGTGTCTGTGGGAGATTCCTGAGTGCTC